ACTTCGAAACGTTCGAAATTTCGAACAAACTCCCGGCACACCTAGCGCCAGCACAGATATGCGTCAGATCGGTGTAGAAGACGCCGACCTGCAGCGTCAATGGAATTTCCGACATTTTCACTTTAATTTACACCTCGGTGCAAATATTATCACCGCGGAGAAAATTATTCTCACCGCGGTTTAAATATTTCCACCGAGGTGTAAATTAAAATGAAATTGTCGGAAATTCGAAATGCAGCCGAAAAATACAGGTGAAAATGTCAGAAATTCGAAAAACAGTGAATGGCCCTAACAAGCCACCGTAGATACATGTATGTACGTAATACATGTACAACACTTTGCAACCATTTCAATTAATCTAGTAGACCTTGAATAAAACACTCGTCATAATTTTATTTGTTGTGTACTTAACATTTGTTTTATATCTTATAAAATTTTAAAAACTACATTTTATTAATTATATTTTTCACTACTCAGGGGCAGTCAATAATTAGTGGTCCTAACAACACTCTGAAAGCTCGAACGGAAGGTTGCTGTATGCTGGGTCCCCATATACACGGAAAGGCAGTCCATCGGGCATGTTTGGCAATTCATGTAACTGGTCGAAATACTGACAACTTTCATGTAACATAGCTGACCCATGTCTTCCAACTTTGAATAGTACAATGGAATATTATTCATTCAGGTTTCATCACAAACTGAAAATTTAGAAAATAAATTTTGTTTGTGTCTCAGCTGTCTCGCGAAATCAGGGAGTGTGTGCTGATGTGCGCCCGCTTACGTTTGTAGTTGGAGAATACAAAATGGCAGCTTCCATGTCCACTTCAGTCGGTTGTGTATATTTTCACTGATATCGTTCATATTGTTAATGTATTGATCAGTGATTGGAAGAGTTGTGAAAGCTGACGGCTTTTACTATCCACTAGTGTAACCTGATTGTTGGTAAGTTCCGTTTTGACAAAATAGGGATGGAATGTTGGTTCACGATCGTAGTCCGTGTACATTTCTGTTGTTCCAGAAGCTACCTTACCCTACACAATACACAGCATTATAGTGTTCAACCACATGTATTAGTATGTGAAAATGAAATTAATAAAAAACAAAAACATTGGGTTGTTGAATGAGTTTTCGTCTTTTGATTTCGCCGTTATCGGGTAACCATAGATAGATAAATTGATATGAAGTTTTCGTGTTGTATTTTATACTCTACTACATTTATATACCATTGTGTTACTGTTTACATGTATATACCGTGGTTTTAGCGCATGTTCTTCTACATGTATGCATGGAGCTAGAAAGGGATTTTTACCTCCATGATGTATGCCGTGTGAGAATGTATACCGAGTGTGCAGATTTCTGAAATAAACGGGCGACAATTCAGGTGTGATTGGGTAATATCCCAATGCTATGACGTTGTGTCGACGTCTCATTTTTATGGATTGATTTCTGTGCATCCGTGCCTGGACCGATTCAAACTTCACACATACTAGTATTACATGACAAATAATATTATACATATCCACATCTATTTGTTTGGCGGCTATTTTTGTTCTGAAAAATGATCAAAATCAAGCATTTCTGGCATTCTGGGACCAGATCTCGGCTGTTTACAAATGGATTTTGTTCAAACTTGGTACATGTACATACATTGAACATCATGGGGCCTTGATGCAAATTTGTTATTCAGACTGCATTCAAAATGGCCGAATGGCAGCCATTTTGTTTTATATTCATTTGTACATCATATCATAGATATACATGTACAGATGTATTGGTTTGAAGATCTGATTCAAAATGGGTGACCAGTTTCCATTTTGTTTTTTATTAATGTTGTTGCAGAGCAATATCTCTCAATATGGACAAGTGCTCATTTTACGATCAGATACTATATGACTGAATGCCAATCATTTTAATGTTAAAAAATCATTATAATCAAGCATTAGCTTCTGGATCCAAATCTTTGATATGTTTATGTTTGTTACGTACTTCTGTGTTTTGTTTAGTGTTTCGTTTTTTGTGAAGACGAACACTTTTGCTATTTAGCTAGGGAGGCGTATGGACGTTGTCTATAAAGGGGGTCGTCAGACTTGAATTCGTGGTCATTCATTACAATACCTCACAAGGTCAGCAGGTGTGTCAAGGTTCTGGTGTCACCACGTGGTGTGTGGGACAATTGGGTCCCGGTTCACTGTATGGTTTCGAAGTTGTTACGTTTGGTCGTACGTTATAAATGCTGAAGGTCTGCTGTGTCGTTCTCTGTTGAGTTCAGCAATTACTTCAAGTGCGTGTTCGACGACTGACTACTGCAACCCTACAGCCAAAGAACTGTAAGGTGCTTGAACATCGCCGACTGATTGCCTCAACCCCATGGTCAGAATTGCAAGGTGCGTGGAAGTCACCGTCTCAAGTACCTATTTCTGCGCCGCCGTTCCAGCGTTTGTGTATTTCCGCATTACCGTAGCCAAAGGTATTTCTTATGGAACTGACTGTGTTCACGAACTGAACTAAAGTGTTTGCGTACATATTTGTAATTATATTGAATCCCTATGATTTGTATTTGCATGACAGCATATTGTAATTGAGCAACTTTTTTAAGGGGCAAGCATTCCGAATAGTTGTATATTATTGCTATTGAGCTGAGATGTTGTGGTTTTTCTGTTTAAATATGGTACTATTTGTTGTAGTGGTTATTGCGGATTTGTGGTGTCTCTGAAGCCACTGTTTAAATGTACATGTAGTACTATTTGTTGTAGTGATTATTGTGGTGTTATGAAACCACTGTTTAAACATAGTACTATTAGTAGTAGTGAGTTGGAGTGTTGTATTGATTATTGCGGTTTTGTGGTGTTTCTGCAGTCACTGTTTAATTAGTTGAATTGGAGTTTGTTGTTGTGAAACCCAGCTGTAGTCTGGCGCTAGGATAATATATTTATGGGATGTTCGGAATGCTTGACCTTAGTTTGTAACGAATTGAATACGGGGGGAATGCCGATGATATTATGTATGTTGTATTTGACCAATATTGAAATTATAGTAATTTATTAATAATAATTAGTAATATATAGTAATTATAGTAACTTTTCATATATTGTACAATCCAGTGATACCTTGTGAGCACACTATTTATATTTATACGAATACAATATTTAATCTTGATAACAACTTGTTTTTGTGTCGTTTCTTGTTGCGATTCCCTTGTTTGAGTTTGGGTCAACAGAAAGATTCGCGTCTGTCCGTCATCCGACTTTCGATTCAAACTCGGCTGTAACAACGTTCAAACTATATTACTATAAACAAAACTATATATCTTAATTTGATAACTAACAAGGACTGTGCCTTGCATGGCTAATGTAATATTAGGTTAATAGATACAATTTCATGAAAGTTTAAAATTGCTAATATTTTATAATATCTATTGATGCTCCTTCTAGTAACCATAGTAACTAAGCAGTTTTTTGGTTGAGTGAAAATACTGTCAAAGTGTGTAAACTTTAGGTGTGAATTGAGCGGTGCCATTCAAAGTAAAACTAGTTTCAGTCTGATATCATAAAATGATTGCCTTGTAATTGAACAACATTTCTGAAGATGTTTTATCATGAATGAGCTGTCTAACTTACTTTGTATATTTATAGAAACAACGCCACCCCTAGACCAGAAAGGCACTGTTTTAAAAATCTTAGTTTATTTAGATGTTCCCCCCATATGAACGTTTCATCTAGAATTTGCTTCCCTATAGAGTCGCGTTTTAATCCAAACATAACAGAACTATATTAAAAGTTAATCCAATGTGTGTTGTCACAACAATGGTAAGACATGTATGTGTGTGTGTGTCTGTTTCAATGATTTCTCAAAACAAATTATCGGATTTTAATGAAACTTGGTACCCTGTAGTTTTGGGTTGAAATCTGTGCATATTAATTTTCATATTTGCATATTAAATTAGCCAATTTTAAGCATTTTCACTTGTTTATCATGTACTATTCAACAGATTTTAATGACATTTTTTACATGGATGCTCTGGGATAATGCACAGATCTTATTAGTTTTGGGTTGAATCCATGCATATTAATGACCTAATCTGCATATTAATTAGCCAATTTAAAAAAAATTAACTTTTTTCTTGTATTCTATTAAACAAAATTTCAATGAAACGTGGTATGTAAATGCTGTAGTATAATGTTCAGACCTAATTAGTGTTTAGTTGAAATCAATTGCATATTAATGACTTAATTTGCTTATTAATTAGCCAATATTTAACTATCCCACAAATATCTCAACCACTCATCAACTTGGTACATAGGTTAATTTGCATAAATTGACCAATTTATAGGTGCTCCACAGATAACTTGAGTACCACTTCTTTCTAAGCTTTCCTTGATTCTATTTATTTTTCCCCAAAAACTATTTACCCATGTAAACACTAAGTAATTAAAAAAATAATCTAGAACCGGTCACTGGTAGCATAGTGGTTGTCGCATCAGACTCATGATCCGTAGACCCAAGTCAAATCCTACCTTAGGCTGAACATCAAAAGGGTCGACCACTACTCTGGGTGAGTGTGCCACAGACTCAATGGGAAGGCCAATTCCACTGGCCGAGATTCATTCACTAACGAATGCGACTTTGGGGGAACCTTGGTTAAGGTCCGCATGTGCTTGTGTTTGACCGAGCCTGGTTGACGCAAGGATAGTGCATTAAAATTGCCATTTGATAGAGAGACACCCACACAGCCCTGTCATGTAGTCCCAAACATGAATATGACTTCTGTGGCAAAATGCACTATGTGTCAGCACTAGCACTTGCAATTTGCACTTTAAAAAAATCAGGAGAGACAACAGTGACACTCAATGTCCAGAACTGTCGCCTGGCACAAAACATTTAAAAAAAAAAAAATTTATTTTGTGACATCAGTATTTTTTTACGTACTCCATCCTTCCAATTGATCATATAGATGAGAAATAATGGCGAGCCGATTTGATGAAGATTCTGATGAAGAAGTAGAACGCTTTGAAGTGACAGATTATGATCTGGAAAATGAGTTTAATCCAAATCGCAGACAACACAGGCAGAGCAAGAACCAGGCAACATATGGTAAGCATTAGGTGTGAATTGAGCGGTGAAAGCTTTCTGCAAAGCATTCTGAAAGCTATTTAAATATTCTGAAATCTATGTAAGCATTCTAAAAACTATTTAAACAGTCTGAAAGCTATTTACGCATTCTAAAAGCTATTTAAGCATTCAGAAAGCTACTTAAATATTCTGAAATCTATGTAAGCATTCTAAAAACTATTTAAACATTCTGAAAGCTATTTAAGCATTCTGAAATCTATTTAAGCATTCTGAAAGCTATTTAAATATTCTGAAATCTATGAAAGCATTCTAAAAACTATTTAAACATTCTGAAAGCTATTTAAGCATTCTGAAATCTATTTAAGCATTCTGAAAGCTATTTAAACATTCTGAAAGCTATTTAAGCATATTGAAAACTATTTAAGCATTCTGAAAGCTATTTAAACATCCTGAAAGCTATTTAAACATCCTGAAAGCTATTTAAACATTCTGAAAGCTATTTAAACATTCTGAAAGCTATTTAAACATATTGAAAACTATTTAAACATTCTGAAAGCTATTTAAACATTCTGAAAGCTATTTAAGCATATTGAAAACTATTTAAACATTCTGAAAGCTATTTAAATATTCTGAAAGCTATTTAAGCATTCTAAAAGCTATTTAAACATTTTGAAAGCTAT